CAGTCCCCCCTACGTGCGGGGCCGGCAAGCGGGGAGGGAGCACCCCCGGCCCAGCGGGGGCAGCCTGTCAGAGGCTCAGGGCGAGCGCACCCACCTGCACCGCGACTGTCCAGCCAGGGCTGGAGTAGCCTGACCGCGGCTCCTCCTCGGACAGCCCCCCAGCCTGCAGGGGAACCCGCTGGTATGCGGTTGTGATTACAGAGCTGTGTACGGTACCTCTCCCTGCAGCTTCCAGAGTATGCCTGTACATATGTGTGTATGTACATATATATATATACATATCCCCGCATCTTAGGGCTTGGTGGCCTCAGGCTGCTCCCCCCGGGGCCGGCTCGGGGCTTGCGGAGCTCCCCGCGGCCCTGCAGCACCGCCGAAGCCGCCAGTCTGAGGGGAAGCAGAAGGGGTCCGGCCACGTCCCGCGGTCCCCCCGCCGGCCCCGGCAGTCCCCCCTACGTGCGGGGCCGGCAAGCGGGGAGCGAGCACCCCCGGGGAGCCCCAAAACTTCGGGGGGGAGTCATAAAAAATCGAGGGTGGAAGAGACGAAAGCATTCACGGCTCCCCCCCCCCCCCCCCCCCCCCCCCGCCATAACAATCACCTCAGGAAGGCGCAGCCCCTCCTCTGCCTACCCCGCACCGGGGTCGGGCACCGCTCCCGGCACCACACACCCCTGCGGGGCACCCCGCCGCCGCAGCCGGCGTCTCCGCACCCTCCCCTGCCCCGCTAGGGGGAGAGACCCGCTGCTGGACGACGGCACCCGCAGCCATCCCGGCCCCCGCCCGCCACCCTCCGCTCACCGCCCGCCGGGCTCCCGCCTCAGGCCGCCGCGCCTCACTGCGCCGCTCGCTCGCTCGCTCGCTCCCTCCGCCCTCTCTCTCTCGCCGGCGGAGAAGCCGCAGCCCCAGCAGCACAATATGGCGAGCAGTAGCCTCCGCAATGGAGCTCGGGAAATAGAAGGGAGTTACATATTCATGGCCGGGGGTGGGCAGGGGGAGCGCGGATGGGGCTGCCGAGACCGGGCCGCCCAGCGCCCTCCTCCTCTTCCCTCCCGCAGCAGCTGGGGGCCGCTCGCTCCTTTCCCCGCCTTCCCCGCACCTCCGCTGCGGCCGCCCGCCCCCCTGCTCCCCGCCGTCTGTCAGCGCCAGCCCCGCGCTCCCGCTCCCTTTCCCCCGCCGCTGCCCCCCTCGGTGCCGCATCGCCCGGCGGGGCACCCCCACCGCCGCCCTCTCTTACCTCAGCCCGCGGGCCCTGCTTTCCCGCCCCGCGGCCCCTCTCCATTAACGGCCCGCACCGGCGCTAAGCCCTCAGGCGAGCCGCAGCCCCTGCCCCGAGCCGGCGCCGCGGGCCTGGAGCGGCGCCAGCTGCCGGCGGTGAGGGGGGGTCGGGAGGGAGGGACGGCCGCCCTCCCTCCCTGAGGTAAAACCGCGGTGGGCGATCGGTGCGGTCACGTATTTTCCACTCAGCGCCGCCGAGGAGGGTGTGGGGGCGGCGGGACCGAGCCTCCCGCACCCCCGGTGCCTGCGTGAGGCGGTGCGGGTACCTCCGTGATGAGGGAGGCGGGCAGGATGGCGGCGGTGTCCTGGCTGAAGTCCGGACTGACCCCGAGCAGCCGCTTGTGTGATATCTTCGAGGTGAAGCAATGGAGTGAAGTTACTAAATTGTCTTTGGGCAAGAGCAGGTCTGTGGGCCACAGGACCCAGTGGGCCAAGCCCATGGCCTCCAGCTCGCCTCTGCTGGGCTTTCCTCCCAGAACGTGCCCTCTAAACTCCACTGCTCTTGGCCGATCTTGATCTCGGCCGCCTTTCCGAAGAGAAGAACGTGCCTGCCATTTGTAGGCCATGAGATGAAGCTGGACCCCAGGGCAGGACTGAACCATGAGGCTGGGGCAGCGTGGCACCAAGCCCAAGGTAAAGGCACGCTGCCATCTTCACACTCCTCAATAACAGCTTGGCAGCTGAAGCAAGATTCGCTGTTGCTTGTATTTAAGGCACAAAAATGCACGTTAGATGTTTTCAAGCATCTCAAGTCCGCTCTGCGGTCGTAACATTAAATAAGCATTTGTCTTCTGGTGTCTGCATTTTAATGTTAAATTAAGATACTTTTTATGACTTTTGGGTCTTCAGTGGTGCCTTTATTGGTCTTGTCATTAACTGTTTTATAGCAAAAGCAAAGCAGTACGCTTAGTGTAATTAAATCCGGTGCGAGTAAAAAGTGAACAGAGATCACCTTGTGCAATGGAAATTTGAATTAATACTTCAGTCTTTAATGATGCAGCAACATCATTTAAGCTTATTCAATGTGGAGTATTTAAAGTTTTCCTAGAGTTTTACAGTTAATATTCTCATAATTGAATATTAACAAAATCCTGGTTTGGTCTTTTTCCCCTCTGTGCAAAATTTCACATATTTTTAAGAAATTTTAGCCTATGTCAGGTTATTCCTGGTCATTCTAAGTAGCTATTTTTATGTAGTAGCTTTCACTCCTTCATGCTCCCTGTGACCTACACCGCAGCCTATATAATTAAGTCCTCACAAGAGCTTGATAAGGTAGTCAGCAATAATATCTCTGTTTTCTAAGTGTGATCAAATGTCTCAGCTAAATCTCAGAGGGAGTCAACCAGGAACAGGAGTTAACCGTCCTTTTTTTGTTCCTAATTAGGTTTTTTAAAAGAATTGTTTTTCTTAAGTGGATTGTGTTGAGCTCTTTAAATGTTAAAGTTCAAAGCGGGTAGAGAACGGAAAAACAGATTCCGATAAGTTCCTCTCTTTAGAATGAAACTGGTCATAATTAACACCTGAAATTTTCTTGATGTTTCAGCTGTTCATGAGTGCCGAGGAAAGGAAAGCATAGTCTGTCAAAGCTATTGCAGAGCCAGAAAGTGTCCTTTGGTGGAAATTGCTTCACTTGTTAATTGTCTGCAGGACTGCGGTGAGTGAAGTAGTTTCTATGTTAATGTACCAGTGTTAGTCAAAAAATTTTTGAGAGGAAAAAAGCTAAATGAATATTAGGTCACTGAGTGTTGCAAAAATAAGATTTGCAAAATGAAAGCACAAAGTTGGAAGGAAGGCAGATCTCCGAAGGCAGATGGAGTGCAAGGTGAATTAGAAGCATCTGGTAAAATGCCAAACTATAGTGGCATGCAAATTAACAAATTATAAACATTTTTAAGAACATTTTGCTGAAAGGGAAACAAAAAGAAATTCAACACGGTTAATTTATGCCAGTTGTCCAGCTCACCATATTTATAAGAATATTTATTTGATTATTTTTTATATTTCCTGTATTTACCATTTAATAGCAGCACCACAGCTCATCTCTGCAATGTGGTGTTCTTGCTACTTTTAAGGATGCAAAAAAAATGCTACCAAATATGTTTCAAGTGCAGGCTGTCAGTCTGCCAAGACACCAACATGAAGAAGGTTGAGGGGAAAAACGTGAGGGGAAAAGGGAAGTTTCCTGTTGAGGGGTAAAGTGTGGTGCAGATGCACAGTTCTGCTCCGTACCAGGAACCCTGCTCGGTGTAGAAGGTGAGAGAGAGAGCCAAAAGTTGGGAACAAGGTGAGAGGTGACAAGGAACTGAAACAAGAAATGTTTGGACTGAATGCAAGGAAAAACCTGTTCCCCATGAGGACACTCAAGCAGCAGCACAGTTTGCACAGTGCCATCTCCATTCTTGGAGGTTTTCAAGCCCTGAGCAACCTGGCCTGCTGCCAGAGCTGACCTCCTTTAGGGTGGACAGGGACCTCCTGAGGTCACCTCCAGCCCAATTTATCCCATCATTCTGTGATTCTGCACTCGCAGTGCAGACAAGAAAGCCTGGGATACGGGTAATAGGATATTTCAAACCTTTGTGTTTGTGAGCATTTTTGTTCTTTGCAGCGGGTAGAAAAACCGCCGCATGATAGCTGAAAAAGCTTTCATCAGCTCGTGGTTTTCACTGTTCCTGGTGTAATGGAAACATTTCTTCTGTTCCTTGCAGCAGCAAAATAATAGTAAAGAAAATTACTGGAGTCAACTGAGACATGCTGTTTCCACGTCCTCCTTCCAGGTAAAATATTTATTACCTGTTAAAGCGATTGAAAGTCACCTATTCGCTGCCTTTTAGAAACCAGTATAAATAGAGAAGGAAAATGAAAATATAAAGTACTCCAATTTTAAAAGTCTGGAGGCAGGGAACTGTAAATAATGCGCAAAAGGTGGGAGCGGGCAGGAGGAAATGTCCATGTTGGTGCATTGCTCTGCTGTGGTACCGTACAGTAAAGAAAGATGAGTGTATAAATAAATGATAGCAAGGGAAAAATAGACGGGCAGTGGATTGGTAAGATGAGGTTAAGTTAATTGGTGGTATCCCAGGCAGGCTGAGAGACTTGTCTGCCCCACCATTAGTAAAATACTCAACCCTTTTTCACATGCTGGCTGCCCGTCAAACAGAGCAAGAGAGATTTCTGAGGCATTTACCCTTTCTGCAGGTTACAAAGTGTATACAAAGCAACCTTCCTGAGGGTCAAATCAGATAGAAGCAAGGCAGGAAGAAAGGGGACTGAGCTCAGAATTGATGGTTGTGCTACAATTTAAGATCTAGATCCTTCAAAAATAAAGCAGAGGCAAGCAAGCTGCATGGTCTTTAATGAAAAATGTTCAATAGTATGAACGGGAAAGGAGGGAAATTAAGCAAGATTGCTCAGCACAGATTGTATTGTGGCAGGGCACGTTCTGGAGGAAGTTCAGAATGCAAGAAAACCCTCTGTATACTTGCATCTGATGCTAGTGTTGATTCCATCTTCAAAGCTAAACTAAGAAACATTTGCTTGATGATGGTATCTTGAACTGACAGGTGCCATTGGCACAGATAGATGGACTGATGTGACATTGCTGCAGCGTGGCTGTAATTGTGATGTACCTCTTCCTCTTGCTGGAGCTGTAATAATCTGGTGAAAATGTCCAGTGGCAATCCAGAGGAAAAGCCCTTTTTTGGCTCATAAGAGAGCCGCAAAAAGGTATGGCAAAGGCAGGAATTAAGCCCTTCCATCAAGTGATAGTTCACTTTTATGAAGGCATCATGTTTGAAGTAGGGTTCTCTGGCTGTTGCTGGGTTTAACTAGACCCAAAGCAATCAGTGATAGAGGTACATTTCATGCCAAGGCAGAAGTTAGGTTACTTTATGCAACATTCAAATGGGCATCTTGAAAATAAGTGTAAGGAGTTACATTGGAAATACTTACTAGTGGTGTAGTAGGTTATGTTAGCACTAATAAACATGTGGAGATACAGGTGTGTCATCTGTTACAGTAGTGGGTCACACATTCTGGATGGTTGGTTGTGTATGTGATGAAAATAAATAGATGTGTGTCAGAAACAGTCAGCTCTGTTATAATCTGTATTAATTTCCTGGACTGATAGTTAAGATAAGACTCTGGTAAAATATTTGCAGAACTTTGTAAAGGTGGTGGCTCTATTTTGAGACTTTTAGGCAAAAATAAGTGGGGAGCAGGAAGCCATGGAATATTAATTACTCACAGAGGTAACGTGAGTAAGTGGGAATTGTAGCAGGATCCATGTTACTCAAGGATCAAAATGCACAAATTATGGATTCTGTCAGTTTTATTCTCCTGGAAAAAAAATGTTTGCATGAGACACTACAGGATCTTTAGTATTCAGGCTCCACCATTATTCAGTTCTTGATTTCAAAAAGTTACTGAAAACCAGTATGTAGCCAGCGTTTGGACAATCAATGCTGACTCAAGAGGGAAAGATATTACTAAAAATAGCAGTTTGTAAATTCTTGAGTCATGCTAGGAGTAGCAGAGGTGGGAGCAGCCAGTAACATAGTGGATCTTATTTAATAAGGGTCAAAGACTTGTTTTCTCCTCCAATGTATCCTAAAAATGTTGGTGTATCTGACTGTAATATAGCCTTAATAAATTCATGACTGCAATGCACTTACTAAGCAGTGTGCAAAATAGCAAAAGATTTTGAGTAAGCAGGGGCATAAAATCTTTTGCCAGCTTTGAGGCAAATAGTATAAGGCCAAGTTCTCTAGTGCAGGCAAAGATTA